GCATAGGTTGGTGGAGCATGCTGGTGTTACCCTGCGCTTGAAAATGGATGCTATTTCAATTGTGGTGAAGAGGGCGAAGCCACTAGGGACACACCGTGTGTGGTGGCCATGCATCACGATGCAGGAATGGACTTCCTACCTGCTATGCAATCATGCCCAAGTCCTTTTGGCTGGCCACAGACTAGATGAGACAACCTCTTGGAAAGCTGTATTTCTTCGTTTTTGGTCTTCCTACAAGCGGGTCGATCCAGGCCACCCAGTGTTCAGTTCCAACCTCCCTTTGGACCAGTCCATTCCTTATGCCTATCATGGCGATGAGGGCCGTGGCAAAGGTCGTGACCCGTTCATGGTCATATCATTCCAACCAATTGTAAGTCACCTGGGTTTGGATTCCTGCAACGACAGCACGTAGCTTGGGTGCAATGATGTATCATTTCGAAGGGGGTCTTTGTTGTTGCTACTAGGTACTAGTGTTTGGAGCAAATGTCAAAGCCAGCCTTTTTCAGGCATAGCTTCACAACACGCCTTCTCCTGACTTGCATCTCTGCCAAACTCTACCACGGAGACGAGACGTTGGATGATTTGTTTGCTGAGATTGCAAGACAAGCGTGTGAACTATCCACAGAGGGGATTGAGGAATCTCGCACTTGTCAAAAAAGCAGTTTTTTGCTCATCTTTCCCATGTGGGCATTGAAAAACCGAAGAAGAAGTGTCTCTCAAAGATGATCTCTATCCCAGGAAGTGCACTCATCCCATGTGCCCCGCGAGCCTGCTGCAAGGTCAATGGAACAAGGTTCCACATGATTTGCGTTGGCCTGAAGGGCGATTGGGCGTTTGCACGGAAGGCACCTGATCTGTGAAAAGAGTCCCAAGTTTTTTGACAGCCCACGGGGTGTGTAGTGAATGCTATCATGTGAAGACGCGGGCAAAGGTGGGGTAGTGCCTGATCACCACCATTCCCTCTGAGCATGTTTGTTCACACCCTAGTGTTTTAAACTTGCAACCCTAGGCATATCACTTGTCCACGGGGTGGCAATGCAGCCGGATATGTCACCTCTGCACAGGGGTTGGATGGCATGATCCTACGGATTCAGCGTCATGGGTTCGTGATGGACCAGGGGAATCGCCCATAAAGCCTGGCCCACTCCCACCTTTGATGGACATACCTGGCTGTCATCACCAACGGTATGTGCAATTGGACTTTTGCCATGCATTCCATTTGGGGTACGGATTAGACATGGCATCAGGTGCCATAGTCTTACTGTGGCGACTTGGTCATTGGGGAGGCGGCGCTATGAATGCATGTTTGAGCAGGGCGTACACACGGTTCAGCCAGTGGTGCTATGACAATAGGAGGGCTACCACCATCAGGATGTTCTCCAAACTTGACTTCGATATGACAACGAATCTTGATTGAAGAGTAAATTGTTGTTAGTTTGCTGTTGGTAGTAACAATTGCCATTCCCATTCCACCTTGTGGTATTGTTGGTTTTCCCCAGGAACAACGACTGGCCAAAAAGCCTGAACGGCAAAGCCATTGACACGGCTATTGTCCTAGCCTGGCTGGAAGATGAGATGACCGCTCCATCGGCCAATGCTGCTTCGCTGGCGCTGGCACAACATTTTCTTGGGACCGCCAAGTGGGAATGGTCTTGTTTGGTACGGTAGGTTGGATATAGTATGTGTTTGGTTCAGTTGGCCATTGAGGCTGATCCTTTCTATACCATGGCTCGCTACATGGTTCAATGCTCCAACCTCTTTTTCAGAATTTGTCGAGGGAATGGCGTGTTTCTGTCGGGTGATGCCCGGCGTCATGCAGTGGTTGCCGGTATGGATATGAATGATGCATGCATGCATGAAAAGAAGTATTTTTCTTTGCCAAACTAGGACTACAGCTTAAGCTTTTGAGAATCCCACGCATGAGCGTCCCAGGAAAGTTATGCCCGCTTGGTGGCCCTTTGCCATGGAAAGGGCTGGCGACTTTTCAAGTATAGACCCAAATATCATTTGGGGTGCCATATTGTTCGCAGCCTCCAATCAGCTGAAGAAGCTATCAACCCGTGTTGATACTTGGATTTGCTTGATGCATTTGAAACCGTGTTTGCTTTCTATTTACTGTACATGCAACGTTGTATAGTGGGAAGCACAAAGCTTGAAACCACCAAATTGGTAGTCAACTGAGGCTGGGGGTGCTGGCAAGATGAGGACTTCATTGGAGTTTGCTCCCGCCTTTCAAGACGTTGCCATCCCCTCTTGACTACAACTCGTACATTGCAGAAAGTCATGGGCCTATACTTCAAGCAGATGTCGAAGTTCAAATAGACTCATCAGACGGTGCTGTCTGAAAAGGGGCGAGCGGAAAATGTCCAAAGCGAGCAGAATTCGATCAAAACGACCCAAACGACCCAAAAACAATCAAACGAGCAAGAAACCCAAACGAGCAGAATTTAGTGGTTGTTTGAAGATGTTGGTAATTGAAATTACACGGTTTTGGTCATTGCCCAATTGGAAGCAGCTCCACGTGTGACTTGGCTTGCTAGACTTCGAAGACAAAAGAATATATGTGGAAATGGATGTTCTTATTGCTAATTGCTGGGCCCTTTTTCAACCTTCAATGCTGAGGTATCCAGTGTCCACCAGCTTCAGTTTCATTCTTGACCTCTAGTTCCAGTGATGTGGGGAAGGAAACACTGAGACCTCGGGGGAGGTTTCAAGAAGGACGAAGGAGGTACATGCATTTCTTAACTTATCATTTCTTGACTGCTTCAGGCCTGCTCAATCAGACCCTTAGTACTTTGGGTTTCGAAGGGATTTCTCACTAAACTACTTTGGTTAAACCCGACAAAAAGGACCAGGCTGGACAGCCCCAAGGCTTTAGGTGGAACATGTTTGTTTTTTCACAGAGATCGCTACAAGCCAATGGGTTCGGGAAGGATCGCCTGAGCGTTTTGTAACAAAGCCAGCTCCGGGATCATTTTCACCCTAGCAATTCAGGGGCGGGAGTTTATCTGCCTAGGCTGGTTTGTTCAGACGTTTGAAGGGTCATATAGGTTAAATATGGTTAAATCTTCCAGTCCCATGGATGGTTTGGGTATGTTGGGGTCGGTGTTATAGCTAGAAGGGATGGTCAGCCTGCGTCTTTGGAAGAGAGTGGGCCCTTCCATTAGACAAGAGTTGGATTGAAAGAGTGCCGCTCCATGGCACCTACTAGCGATGGCCTCCACCCTATATTCTAGCGATGGCCTCCACAAGATTTCGGGAATGGATGCAACTCAGTGCAACTCATTCGATCGGACATCAACATACACCTATACGCTGCAACATACACCTACGCCAGTGTCCGGAGGAACTGTGAGGGAACAACCTCTCACAGTTCGACGTGTTTCATTGGGTGTGTCCGATGACCTGTAACAGTGATGACGGCCTGCAACCAGGCCCCATCATGTTGTGCTTCCGAAGGGATGGCACAAAGATGCCGTGTCCCCTACAGCTCAGTTTGACGCTCATTGGCTCAAAAACCCAGTCGTAGCTCCTCAAACCCCCTCACTTCGCCTATTGGACCCTCACTTCACCCTACACACAGAAGTCTCTCCAGGTGTCTCCAAGCACCTAAAACGGTGGAGATGTGGATCCACAGGCCAGCTCGGGCTCTTTCGCTGACCATGCCCCACCAAACAAAAACAAGAACTGCTCAATTTTCGGTGTTTTGGACCCGGAGACTGGACCTGGGTCAGGCTGGGCCTGTAGGGTGTCCTCGGTACACATTCCCATTCCAGCCATCCTCGTGAAGACGTGGGCGGCTTTCTTGGCGAGGGCCCGGCGTGATGCTCGTTGCTTGTTCCACTCGCCACGCAGAGTCTGAAGGCTTCCCAAGACTCAATTCAAATGTGAACACTTCTGTTTCTAGCTCTCAGATTTGTTTGATCGCCCAATTGGGTGCCCAAATGGGCGAGCAAGCTGCGCTCCCGACTGGTTGTCGGGGCGAGAAAAAACGCTGGGAACCTTCCGGGGCGATCTGCAAACCTGCAAGCTGAAACCCGCTGGACAGCGCAGCGAAAAGAAAGGCTGTTGGACGGGGCCGCAAAGTGAAGATAGTGAAGGGTGGAAGCGGGCCGCTAGCAAAGCTTGGATTGTTTGGTGGTTGACATATGGAAGGGTTGGATTGTTTGATTGATTTTTTTGGTTTGTGTATGTTTTTGTTTTTGTTTGTTGGGTTTTGGAGTTTGGTACGGAAATGACGTGCTAATGCTTGCAAAGTCCGTCCTGAACAGGTTTGTGAGCCTTGTGAACAATGACAATGGTGGCTAGCAGCTGTATCACCCAGGTCACCAGCCCCAAAAGTCCACATACCATAGCTGGACACCTGAAACATAGCTGGACACTACACTCTTGTTTTTGAACATGTGGACACTCTTTAACATAAGATTTGGAGGGTGTATAGTCGTACCTTGAACACGAAGGTTTGCGGACCCGTGAGTTTCGGGCAGTACTTGTGTATTTGTAGATTGCCCTTTGCAGGCAGTCAATCCCAGACCATTATCGGTTCATTGGACATAACATTTAACCTGCAACCTTAGGACATTATTCCAAGGCCGGGGTAGATCGCCTCCCTAAAGTCCTCCCTCATGATTGCAGCAGGTATGCATTTAGCCTATAAATTAATATAATTATGATCCTAATGATTTGTAACATGTTGTAACTCTTCCAGGTCCCATGGATGACCTGTTTCTTTTTCACAGACGACCTGAAGGGATCGGAAGAGGCTCATCAGAGAGTCTGGGTGGTTGAGATGAGTTCTCAACAACGGCGAGTTGAAGCAGACCATGTAACGACGAGTGGTTTTTCGTGAACATGTAAACTCTTGTAAACTCACGTAAACTCTTCGAGTCTAGTGAGTCATTTGAGGTCATTTGAGGTAGTCATGTCAATGTCTACCTCTTCCAAGTTCGGACTCTCATGCTTTCAGATGCCGGTCTACCGGAGTGACCTCAGTGACCGAGGTCCTTGATGGTGGTCGAGTGGCTGGCGGCCAAAGGCCGGGCGGCTCCGCGCCGCGGTCGGGTCCGCGCTGGTTCGAAGGACCCGGACCGTTTGGCTGACTGGTGCTTCGTGAAGGTGGGAGTGTATCTACCCTACGCGACAAAACCCCTTAAAAATGTCGGGTCTGAGGACAAACCCCGGGTGTTGAAGGTATCAGACCAAAAACCTCGGGTTCTTGAACAAAACCTCGGGTTTTCTGGTGAGATCCCTACTTCAAGGTTTTTCAGCGTTCCATCCGCTTCCGCCACGCCACAGGTGACTAAATGTTGGACAAATTAAAGGGTTAGTGGTGAAACCCGTGCCCACCCCGTGATTTACCCGTGCCAACCCGTGTTTTTGGAATGAAAACCTCGTGTTTATGGGAGAACCTCGGGTTTTCGCAACCCGTGCCAAACCCGTGTCCAACCCGTGATTTACCCATGCCAACCCGTGTTTTTTTTAATGGGTTTTCTGCCACAGGTGACTAAATGGCACCGGAAGAAATCAGCCAGAGTCTGCAATCACACTCCGGAATCCTGCCCGGAGCAGATTTTTGAAACCTCGGGCTTTGATTGAAAACCGTGTGTTTTGAGGTGAACCCTACTTTTTTAAAGGTTTCTGTAGTACAGGGTATGTATAGTGAGCCTGAGGTGTCATTCTGTTTCTTCTCTTTAGAAGCACCGGTGGCCATGGGAGATCCGATCCGAGTCGAGAAAGACTTTCCGGGTGCTTCGGGATGAGTCAGGCTCTTCAATCGGTCGCATACAGCCGACCTGTCGGCCTGTCGTCGATCTGGGCTGGAAGAGTGGCAGTGTTCGGCCATGGACATGCCCAAACGATCCATGGCCCAGACATGACCTGTCTGGGACTGCCATAGGACTGCCGCCCCATGGACCCCCAGTCAACCACCCCAATGTAGGCATATACGGCAGTCCCATGGAGTGTTTGGGTGGTGGCGTAATGTATGACCTATTGTACATGAAAACCACTAGTCACCAGTCATGGTATACCATAGGACTGCTGTCCTATGGATCGTTTTTGGGATGCGGGTAGATGATGCCTCTAACCTGGGCAATCCTGGGTATCCTGCTTGGAGATCCCTAAGTAGTGTTATTAGGTCCAGCCAGCACACCCAGCATGATGCTGGAGCTATTCCATATACCATATACCAGCATCCTGACTGCCAGGTCTCATTCATTTAGAGGGTTGGGAAGGGCCCTAACTAGGTCTCAACTACCTGGCAGTGAGGATGCTGGTACATTGATGTTTTGGGGGATCAAGGTTCCCAAAATTCGATTGGCATTCTCTCCCAGCTACTAACCTCAATTGACTGTTGATGAATTAATCTTTCCAAACCACCAGCCCCCCAAAAAGCCTAAGATGCCCCACGGTTTGCAAAAAAAAAAAGCTGCCGGAGGTCCAGGTCTTTTGGACGACGTTGGATCTCCCGTTGGCTGCGCCGACGGCGAGGCTTGGTGGCGTCTCAGGCTGCTGCGCCGGAGGTGTTGCAGTTGCTGCCAGATTTGGCCTGGCAACAGGAGCCGCTCGGCGAGCAGAAACGAACCACAGACGCCACCCGTTGTGGCGTAATAGAGTCATGCAGAGATGATGCAGTTGTAGGGAACCATGGTGCTTCCAGGTTTAGAGGGTTCAGTTGCTTGAGCCACTCAAGAGGAAGAGGGAGATCATAAACTGAGCCATTAAGAAGAACCACGAGCGCTCAAAGAAAGCGCTCAAAGAAAGCCAAACGGCTCGATTTCTGACTTCAGGGAGTGGCTTGGCTTTCTCCATCCACCAAGGAAGGGAGTGAAGGAAGCATTCACAGACACTGACACGCCAGGTCCAAAAGAATAGTAGGTGTTTAAGCTTGTTTGGACCAGTCCAGTGACCAGTGATTGGAGAATGAACCAGAAATTCGTCCAAGAGGCACCCCCCGTATAAAGCTCTATTGCCTACTGTAAATACATTGACCACTGACACCACCCCGAATGTAGGTCAATTTGCAACTTCCATGGTTCGCGCTTGGGATTGAACACTGCAAGGCCCTGAAAACATCCTAAGAGATGGTGCAGGTTTGGTGGCAGCCCATGTCAACCCTGTGCCGACCTAGCCATGTCCCAGGGCCGATTCCACAAGCTTTCGCTGCAAAAAAACAGGGTGGGTCGAAGATGGGTCGAACAGTGGGGTGAATTTGGAGGATCAAACCAAGCACTTACTGTTGACCCACTGACGACCCATCCATAAGCAACTGTCGTCCGATATAGTGCAGTGTTCGACATGTGAGGAACATGTCAGGATACCTGATTTGTACCAGGACCCTCTTTTTGGGGTGCCCTGTTTGGAAGCCGAACGGCCGGTAGTGTGGGGTAGTCCAGCCAGGACACCCCGAAGGTCGGAGGGTCCTGGTATCTTCCCTGTTGCGTGGATCATGGGGGTTTTCTTTTGATGTTTTCTTATATTCTGGCCTCAATCTCCCAGGGGTATTCTTTCCCAGACTCCCCACCTTACTTGCGAGCCAAGAGAGGTTCAACAGCCCTATATATACCCCTCCCACACCCAGACACTCCATGGGACTGTTATATTAATAATTTACATACCAGCACCTTCCAATATAGGTCTCCGAAAATGGAGGGTTGGTTGGGTGTTAGGCCCTAGCCTAACAGGTTTCAATGCTGGTACTTATCATACACCAAAGGGGCGGGCATGGGAGGTGCTTTTTTCACCCAATGGGCGTCGGGGTTCGGGGCTCGTCCTGAACATCCCAGGCACGGCCTCTTTGCCTTGGACCCCGAAGAGCTACGCGTGTGGCCACCGGGGGCGAGCCGAGCAGAGACGAGGGCCTTGGGAATCCCAGAGAGAGAGAGAGAGAGAGAGAGCCTCAGAGGCTGCAGAACTTGGATTGGCGATGGTGGCGCCATGAAATCCTTGACAGGTATACGGATGAGGTATGTTTGCAAGATGATGCAAGCATTCCATACATGGATGCGTGTGACGGAGAGTTTCATCTGAAACAGACATGTTGGACCAGGAATTCACGAAGCTGGGAATCGCCCAATGGTCCAATGGCAGGTTGGGAGTTTCCCCACGTGGGCACTCTGTCCGTGATCACGCATCAAATGCACAAATGGCCAATCACCAACAATCCATGTATGGTTTGTGTTTCCGACATTGACCCTCAAAACATCTTTAAACCACCCTTATTACAAGATATGACAATTATTCCATACATGGCTTGGTTGTAGGCAAATATGACAGTCCCATGGACGGTCTCGGCGCCAGGACAACCGGAGGTTTCCCAGGTCAACCACCGCCAATTCTCGTTGGAGGATCGGGGCTCCTGGATGGGACTTTCAGATACTTTAAGAAGAAACCACCCCAAGAAGGGAACTCCTGGTGCCTGATGGAACTCCTGATGCCTGTTTCATGTTTGATTGTTGCAGGGTGCCAAGGATGTGCCACGAGAGGTTGAAGAACCCTTATACTTCGGCTATCTTAGTTGGGTACCCCAGGTTTTCCGGGGCCTATTTGACGGTCACCAAACCCCGCTCTGGGTGTTCCAACCGCTTCCAACGCAACGGGCCTACCCGGCCAGGCTCGGCGCGGGCACCTCCATGCACCACTGGCGCGACGTGGCGCTGAACGAGACCCACACCGCCCTGGAGCCGCCCCGGCGGCAACGACCGGCGTTCGAACGAACGAACGTGGAGCGCGGAGAGAGGGCAGGGGTACCACGGGCGAGGCATCGGGGATCTCGAGGCACCGGGGTCGGAACGGTAGTTCAGCGGACATCTCTTCGGCGGGAAGACCAGGCGGATCTTAAAGAAGGTGGTTCCAGTGAGAAGAAACATCTCGATGAAGAAACAAAGTACTTTGCTTCAGTGATCCCCTCCCTGAGAGGCGATTTGGAAGAAGGCAGATGTATTGACAGGGGGGAAACAATGGTTTGAGGCAGAGAGGAACTTGCAAGGCTTCCCCACTTCAAACACGCGGACACACATGGAACGGGACCTATAGTCTTCAGGTTTGCGCCAGCATGCGCCAGCTATGTTTTCTGATTGGAGCCATCAATGGTAAAAGTTGTTGTCTCTCGCAGCGGGGATCCCGCACCATCTTCGCAGAATTTGACAAGGAAGCTGAGTTTGTATACTCTGTGGCTGCAGAATTGGTAACGCAGACAAATAGCCGAGGGAGACTGCGTAGAGTCAAGCCCGCCAAAAGTCTTTGGGACTGAGGAGCAGTGAGAAGTGTGGTAGTCGTCGTGGTCATGGTCGTGGTGGTGGTAGTGGTATAGGTATTCGTAGTGGTCGTGGTCGTGGTCGTAGTGGTGGTGGCGGCGGTGGTGGTGGTGGTTGTTGGTCATCGTCGTCGTCGTAATCGTAGTCAGTCGTAGTTAGTAGTAGTCGTCGTCGTCGTCGTAGAATAGGTAGAATATAGGTATAATTTTGAGAAGGGTGTTTGAAAAAAGGTTTTCGGGTCAGAGTTCCATGAATCAAGCAAACCTCAGAAGAGTTGAGGGCAGCAATGCAAACACACTGGGCAAAAGAAGAACCTCTTACAGTATTTATATATAATATATATATATATATCACCTAAACTATTCAGGGAGTGGGACGATGATCAGGTAGCTATTCTTTGGGTCTGTCCTAGTACCTGTAACAGTCAGTAAACAAGAACATCACCATTTTTGCACAAGACCTGCAACCAAACCATCACCATCAACTGTTACAGGTCTTAGTATCATTGTGACAGATCCGGGGTATCAGTATACAGTATTAGTATATATCCATCATGAAGACCGCTTGGCCCAGGTCATAATGTCGATGTAGGTAACTATTTTATACCCAGACACTCCATGGGAGTGGTATATATACCGATCAGGCCAGGGGTGGCGCCAGGGGGGTCAATTGATCGGCAGCCCTATGGCACACATGCCCTATGGATCCACATACCTTCTCAGGTACGGTGATTGGAGACTATTTATGTAGGCTTGGGGAACCCAAGTACCTTCTGAGAAGGTAGGTATCCATGGGGATGGAGTGTTTGGGGTACATGGGATGGCTTGTAGATGTTGCCAACGATCAACGGGCTCGGGAATCGATGACTTGGTGGCTCAAAGGTTGTGACTGAGAGGCTGGTGACTGGCCGGCCCCACAAAGGGTCTTTGGTTTCGGGGGGATCTAGTAGTCGCTGGAAGAGTGATGATTTGCATCATTGAATGCGTTTGACAAATACTTTCCAAATGACCCATCCATGCTGCTCTTTCTGTCCCATGGATGATTTTTGATATGGTTTGGGTTTCTTCAGCTGTGAGATGCAAAACAAATCGATATCAACTCAGGTACATCACCTCGGAGCTGAAAACATTGCTTGGTGCCTCGCCAGTCACGCTGGAGCATGTCCGTTGGGCCTACCTAGTGCCTTGGAAAACCGCCGAACAGCGTGACGAGGGGTTCGCAACCCAGAAAAGGCTCCAAACGCAGCATCCAGACTCTCTATGTATACAGCATATGCATATATAATATATATTACATACATTACATATCACATGTGACCTAAATACATTCACTGGAGTGGTTTCGAGGTCAGAGTAGGTAATGGCATGCCATATATTGGGGGTCGAGTGTCGGGGGCCCCGTATGCCAGGGTCATCCAAGGCTCCAGGGTGCCCCAGCAGAAAATTACAAATCATCAGGCTGAAACATTTGTTAGTGTCATTTTGCACGGGCTCCAGTGGCTCCAATACCCCAAAGGCTCCATGTAAGCAAGGATGGCCTACATTCACCGCCCAAAACCACCAACTGTAGACCATACGCATGTTTGGCATATGTTTGGCATATGTGTGGCAGATCCACGACAAAAACTCAGTGATTCTTGGTATCCCTTTTACTTTGGCTCAAGTGAGTTGAAATATCCCTCATCGGCTCAAGTGAGTTGAAATCCGTGGCTCAAGTGAGTTGAAATAAAGCAGGAGAGCAGTGGGTGGTACAGAGTTCCTATGAGTTCCTCCAGCTCCGAGGGTTAACACGAGTCAGTCAGATTCTGAGTTTTGTGGAAGGGCCCTCCTGGCACTTAGCAGTACACCCGGGATGCTTTGCCTTTTATGGCTGCCTGCTTTGGCGGAAGCGATTGCTTCGGTGCCCTTTGCCACTGAGAGCTATAGTCAGCACGTGGAAGCCTTGCAAGGCCAGCGCAGTGAAAACACAGACGAGAGATGTGCAAATACATGATAGAGAGGGAGAGAGATGGGAAGACGATCGGATTGGGAGAAAAATACGTCACATGACTAGAATCTTGGACTCGGCCCGGCTGGAACAAGAAATGAGTATGTTTTGGCCGTCATGGGTGGCAGCTACTCTGCCACTTCAGAAGCCTGCCATGTGTTTGTTTCATTGATCATCACAGACCCGCCAACTGGGGTTCTTTGTGTTTCCTTTCCAGGACGTGTCACTTTCTATTGGGCAGTCGATGAGAGCAAGCAGATCTTGCGTGCTGGCGTGGCGGCGCAGACTGCTGGCTGGTTGGGTGTTGGTTTCAATGCCTTTCCGGAAATGACTGGGGCGGATATCGTCACATATCTGAGAACGTGCTGGGAGGATGGGGAGGATGGATGAGGATGGGATGTGGAGAACGGGGATGAAAAGCCTTGGACCCAGTTGGCCCCAGTATTCATCACGCATCATGAAAACACCATCAAGCACACTTGAGAATCGTGCGACAGACTTCGTGCGATCATGATTGCAAATTGATTGGCCGGGGCATCATTTACATCGAAGTCATGGGCTCGACAACATGTCCTTGCTGTTTCTTGGTGCCTCAGAAATGTTGTAATGCTAGTGCTAGTGCCAGTGTGTGTGTGTGTTGCTTTGTCTTGCTAAAACATCAATGTTGTTCAATGCTTTGGCAACTTGACTGTCCTTTTGTACCGGAAAAGCACTTTTTGCTTAGAAGGGGCTTCTTTCTATACTAAACCACTCAAGATTAAACCGTTAGGAAAGGACCTATGGACAGCCCAGGCATTGGGATAGCACAGTGCTGGAAAACCTAACCACCCGAGGAAACCCGTTTCTGCGCTTGGAAAGCCTTTTTCCCATACACATCAGTCTTTCATTGGATGCCGTTCCGGTAACAGGTGGCCCAAGTAACGAGTTTTGGGGGACCAACGATCTTGAAATCCCACTTGGAGGTTGTTCATAGAGCACCTTCTTCACTGTGCGATACCCTATGAACAACATATGGCAGTGGCCCTTTGAAACGAGTTTCTGCCCAAACCGGCGCACTTCGGGTCGACAGGGTTGATGAGTATTGACAACATGTCGTCTGGTGGACGTGGAGCATCCGTCGGAAAACAGAGCGGGAGGACCGTGGAACCCGAGTTGGACCGAGGGAATCTATGGCATATCCATCATGATTTAGCGTATGATATGCAAGTATATACCTAGTACTTAGGGTATGATAGGGCATATCATATAGATGAAACTATGGCCTTTGACTCCGCTACACTGGAACGCAATGTAAAACCACTCAAGACTCAGGACCACTGCTTGTGGCACGGGCCTTCAGTGGCCTCAACCATCCCTAGGATGCGCTCTATTGGTTTCAGTTACTGGAAGATCAGAATCTGTGAACCAGGTCATCGTTCATGCAGCCCTATTATGTGGCACCCACTGCTCAACCAGCCTCATATGGGGGCGAGGCGCTCATCCCACGCGCAAAAAGGTGATGATGAGCGTGGATGCTGATGGGAACCCCTTGGCGGTGCAAGACCTGCACGCGACGGGCTTCAGCACTCCAGTGGCAGATGTCACTCAAGACGTTGTGGTGAACAGCCAGGGCCGCAGCAATGGCATTTCCTGGTTCACCTTTGAACGGAATCTCACCAACTGCCACTGGGAAAGGTTAGCCGATTCTAGCCGTATTTTGTTTTTTGATGAATTTACGAAAGCCGGCCGATGTGCTAGGCTGAAGTTAGTGCTGCGAACGGTGTTGTTTGGTGGCTTCGTGATGCAAAATATGCGATAGCCTCATCGCTACCCGAGAGTGGTACACATGGCTGGTTGAAAGGCAGCCAAGTTGACATGTGAACATGGCTGAAAGAGTTATATATATATATCCATTTATAGAACATGCCTCGTATTGTCGGATATTGATTAGTACAAGGGATCCCCCCCTCCCCCTAAACAAATGGGAGGCCCTCTACAATGAACGACCGCCAAAACAAATCTGGGTTTGTGGGAGGATTCCTTTTGTTACTCAATGTGTTCATTTTCCTTTCTCAGGTTAGTTGTGATTAGATATTATCATCAACCCTTTTCCTTTGCAGCCTCAGATCTTCAGGTCTACTACCTTCAACATTTGTTTAGGAGCAATCTTTACATAAAGGATTGATTAAGGATTTGGTGGCTTTGGGAAGCTGTGAGTTTTTAAGAGCAGCTAAAGAAGCTTATGATTACCAGCAATAGTCTCAGCAGTAGTATTGAGAGCTATTTGTATATATTTGTTGATTTAAAACACCTTTGCACAATGGAGAGCCCTTAAACAAAAATATTATTAAGGATCAGGGGCCTTACTGGTACTACCTTGAAACTTTGTTTAGGATTTGATTAAGGAATTGAAGGCTTTGGAAAGCTGTCAGTTTTCAAGAAGCACTAGAGAAACCTATACTGATCAATAATCTCAGCAAGCCAGCCATTAGCTGAGTAGTATTCACAGATCTCCGAAGGATTTAAAGCACTAATGATTCTTCAGACAATAAAAAGTAACATATCAACAAATAGCATAATAGAGTAATAGAGAACCCTCAAAACATATATATATATATATATGTAAGTATGCATAACATTGATATACAACAACATACATGGGGTTGTGACATCGATGACAATGTTGTGACGTTGACTTACCCCCACCCCACCCACCCACCCACCCACCCCGGCAGTACAGTAGTGGGGACAGCAGTCCAAGTCGAAAAACCAAACGGAAGACCATATCCACCACAAAAGTGAGGGTTGTCCCACCAGGAAGAGTTGCAGCAGCTTTCTGAGCATGGCTGAACTATTATATATAGAACATGCCTCGTACCAGGGACTTGCGGTGACTAGTCCTATATTCCCCAGGACCACTGCTTTCAACTGCTGCAACTCTTCCCGGTAAACAGTGAGTAAGACCCCAACTGATCGGTAAAGATGCCAGTCCCGTGGAGTATCCTTATGGAAATAATCTTGCACTGTTGGAATGCCTTTCATGTCAGCAACGAGATGCTGTAAGTAACCCCCACTATCCCAAACACTCCATGGTACTGGGACCTATGCACACATCGAAACTGCACAAATGTAGGCAAATAGGTCAGCCCCCCGTGAAGGGTACTCGGTATACATTACACGCCAGGAGTTCCAAAGACATGTTTTTCGTCGGGAAGTGAGTTGATGTTCGGACCGGGTACCCTTACTTTAATTATTAAGGACCCCTTCGGAACTCCTGATGTGGTTAGATGTATATACTGTATATGTGCATAGGTGCGTGTATGCATATGGACATTTTGACCCCAACCCCATGATCTGCCTAGAACTGTGGAACCTACCCTATATTCGTTCCAGCGCCGCAAGTCTCAGGCGACACCCAGGGGGACTACCAGTTTGTTCGGATTGGCAATGAGTTCACCTTGCTGGTGGCGGTGGGAGACAGTCATACCTGGCAAAACCATGGTGCAAGCAACCGCGAAGCAATTCGCATGCGTCTCGTGGAGACAGCGTCACCAGCTTTACCTGCAGATGTCATACAGCTGCCAATCCTGGCTCCTGATGCTACTGCGTCTCGCTCGGACAGTCGATATATTTTCAAGCCATGTTCAAGTTTGTTTGGTTGTTGACTTGTTTTGCATAAGTTTCCCGTCAACACCTCCAATTTCATTGGTACAGAACGTTCTGGCCCCCCTAGGAAAATCCGATCCCTTCAAGAGTTTCCACATCCGGGAACTTGACTTCCTTGTTTTTCAGGGACGTCCTTCCACTTCCGGTTTTCAAGGAGGGCATCCCACCCATCACTAGAAATATCTAGAAATCCAACATACTCCGTCAAACAATACTGTTTTAGTTGTTTGTTTTGTCTCTTATGATCAACGAAACGCCACTCAAGCTTGTATGTCGAGAGACCTTTGGTGCTTACTGGTCTTGGTTTGGCAATACCAAGGTTCTCAGGTTTTGATATGTTTTGATCCGGTCACTCACTCAGTAAGGTGCCGACTGCTCCTGGTAGCTACGTGTGCTCTTTGCACGAGCTGCCCAACGACCGGGAGACTCGGAGACGGGGGGGAGGACACTGAGGACACTGGTGCAAGCGGAGCCTCCGGATGAAAGCATGAAATGAAAGCCCAGACCATCCATTGGACTGGAATAGTTACATACTGCACCATGTACATCCACTGTGACGATTGTGACTGGATATATATATATATATATATAGGGAGTTAAAATGTGTTGTTTGTTCTATAGTGTATATGTATGTATATGTTTCATGTTTACTATTTGTCGTTGTTTGTTTTCTCTTCGGTTAGACTTGATCCTCATCATTGCATTGAGGCCCTGCGGCCCGGGGCATAGCGGTATAGCTCGAAGTTCTTGGGGATTGTTGTGCTCCAGTGTCCGGCTACGGCTAAGCCCATTCCTTCGAATGGTGACCCAGGACCAAGAATCGACCTGCAGGTGGTTCACTTCTGAGTTCACTTCAGTCCGGTGTCCATGGGGGGGCTCTCCCAGGTCCATGTGCGATCGCCCCATGGACCGTGCGACTCGGGCTCACGCCAGCCTGCGAGGAGTACCATTTGGTTCGCTTCAAGGTGTGGAAGATCTCTTGGTCCAAAAAACGCGTTCAGTTCATTTTTGTTGCCTGTTGCCTTGAGGAGAGGAAGGACGGTTTTTGGCTTCAGCTGAACTTTTGAGGGGCAAGGCGGCAAGGATTGCCAATAGCCAGAAGAATAAAATATTGATCAAAGATTGATGACCCTTGTTTATCTTACCATGGCACCTTTTTCTCTAAAAGAAGCACGGACCCATAGAAGAGTTCGGAAGTCTTCAGCAAAGCTGTCTTGGAAGGCTTGATTTACACATTGTTAGCATTCGAGCTTCTCCAAGTACAATTATACATTGCGAATGAATCGCTGGACATCAAAGCGCTCTATACTGCATCAAGTCCCAAAGAGTTGATACCTGCCTATTTCCCAGACACCCCAGACGGGTGCCAGGGGTGTGAATTGATGCAGTCGTCCCATGGAGCGGTTGGGACTGATACGTTGCCTTAGAGTGGCACGTCGCCCCATGTCTAATTCCCCTAGGGCTCCTGGCCCACCTCCTGAGGTTCGGTGGGCCAGGGGTGGGTTTTGGGGGGTCTAACCACCGAACCTGAGGAGATGGTTGGAGCCTTAGGGTTCTACGTTTAATGACCTCTTTGGGAGGGGGGGCTGGCAAGTGAAACGCGTCTGACTTCAGCTGGATGCCACAGGTGAAACGTGGTACAGCGGCACTGGTTTCGGACGGTGGTGGCTCAGTGCTACACCACGTGGATCCTCGCTTCAAGCCATTGGATGTTTTTTGGTTAGGAGTTCCAATTGTTGGGTGGTTGTTGGGTTGTTGGTTTTGCTGGGTGCCCAGAATATGAATACAATCACCTTAAGTTTTCAAAAAAAATCTAGGAACCAAATCATCAGTGTGAGCGCTTCAAGGAAGCTTCCCCCGCCTGTTATCCTTGAAGAAGCGCGAGCTATCCGGCATCCTGTAACATACTAGCTTCTCCTCTCCAGCTACGCCGTCCTTTGGAACCAAAGCCATTTGAACTCCTGAAGCCGGGGTTGGAACTCCCGGTCCGTCTCCTCCTGGAAGAGACGGCGGTTTGGAACACCTGGAAGACAAAGTTATAAAAGCAAAAGCTTTCGACTAAGAACATCACACTCGTCACACAGCTCACTCAGCTGTTTTTTTGAGTTCTTTTGGCGGGTTTGGTCCAGCTCCTGCAAGGACATGTTTAGCTGCAAACATCTTCCAGGACGCAGATGCAGAACTGTCAGCCGAAATGTGTGAAATTGGCAGAGCATGGTAGAGCTCCACTGCTTAGATTCAGACATGGTGAGGGCACCAGTAGTTTATGTTTTCTTAGTAGGGATCGGTTTGGTTCTTCAGCTGGGAGAAATAATGCCGATTTGAAATGCGAACACGTGGCCGGAAATCAATCTCTGTCACCAACCCAACTTGATCAACATAAATTTAACACAAAAGAATCCATGAAGTTCCTGAAGGACAGATCCAATATTTGGTTTCCTTGCATTGCCTTTGTGATAGATCATCCTTGCATTGCCTTCTCAAGATAATGATCGCACACAATGAGTCAATGAACGTTTTTTCACCCATTCACTTCGAGATGAAAACGCGCTGCGAACGCGTGGCCAGGAGCTGTGAACGCGATCGTGGCCTGTGGCGTCGCCATGGCCGCCTGTGATGAGATGCTTTTGAGTGGTGGCTACTCAGGAGCGAACCACGTCGACACGCTCAGTTTCAGTGACAACGGACAAGGCAAACAGTCAAACAGTTCTTGAAGTTCTAGCGCGACACCCTATGAGAAGCCAGTGCCTTCTATGTGAAGCCCCAATTTCACATATATAGCCCTGTGAGAGTTACTGTGTGATGCTGGGCGAGGTTTCTGCGTCATGGATGGTATCTCTAGGACCTCTCCAGGACATCGTAGGCCTCCGGAAGCCCATCACACCCGTCGGACAAGAAGGTGATGTTGTTAAGGGCAGGAGTTGTTTAAAGTATAAACGTTTTAGATCGTTTTAGATATATTTTACACCAGGTTCCTTTTAACAAATGTCGTAGCCCTTCCTCACATGCTTGATCGTTTTGCACCGTGTTCTTGACCCGCCAGGCCATGGTGAAGACCTGCCACCAGACACGGGGCTGTCCATCGGACCATCCAACAAGTACGTCATGATCAACAGACACTTCTACAATGCCAAGGCCTCGAGTTGAAAACAAAGAGGTGGTGGACCCGGAGAAGTAGACGGAAGGCCATGAAGGCCATGAAGTAAGTAGTTGAGAACCCATCGCATCGAAGATGCTTTTGGGAAAAGGAGGTGGTTTGGGGAGATCATGAGTCTAGGGTAGCCAGGCGGACCCCGACAGGAAGCAGCTGCTTGGGCCGAAGCGATGCCTCGCACAACCCGACCAAGCCAGGAGTTTTCGAGTCGCTAGGGGCAAGCTGAAAAAGGACACATGTCATATCCCAGACCATCCATGGGACAGGCATATCTGCCTTATGCATAGGGGGTTGTTTCAGGGGTGTTTCATGCAGGCATGTATGCCGGTCATCTTTGGGTATGGCCAGTGTGTTCCTCCATGTTTGGTTGTGCCATGTGGAGCAGTTTTTCAGTTCGTGGACCCTCCAAACCACATACTCAGGAGTGGGCTCTGTGGGCGTGGGATGTTCTCCAAATTGCTTTGAGGATGTGTCCCACAAGCTGCAGGAAACCATGGGATAGTTCGCCCGTTTCATCCCACAGTTGATGGCGGGATTCCTGAGATTTGCCGTTTTTTTTTCTTCAATCCTTGGCAACCACTTCGGGGAGTATAATATGACCACTCCTCCACGTTGGGCACCACTTGTTTCACCGATCCATCCTAATGCTCCATGTGTACTAGAAAAATGTTACACGAATCAAAAACCAAACGGTTGCCCAATAAGTACTACGATGCCACAAAAAGTGCTCGCTTCATAAAAAAGTAGACGACCTTGGTCCTACAGGTTGGCCTTCTTTGCCTTAAGTTGGAGGTTGCTGGGGAAAGCGAGCCTTGGTCAACCCAATCCATCCCAACCCAGCGGTCAACACAACACACAGGCCCAAGAGGTTTGAACATCTAAGAGACTATGGAATCTTGTGGAGAAATCTTTCAACCTCTTTTGGGCACACGCACACACACACACACACCAACACATCGGCAGCGACTTCTTCCTCAGCCTCGGGCACCTTCAGCAGCCGGGGCTCTCGGCTTGCTTGTGGACTTCCACATCATCGACTTAATTCCCCACGCACAAGAGATTTTATGTTTGGGACTTTCACTTGGTATTGAAGGAGCTCATAAAATTAATCAGCTCCCTTGCGCATAGGCACTGTCAAACTTTTTTGCAAACTCCCTCCGGTAGTAACCCAGGGATCTATCAATTGTCCTGGCAGCCGTCGTCCAAGGGTGACAACGTCGGCTGATCCTACAGGCACGGCCGATAAAATCTTCGTCCTGCCATGTCATAAACATGGTTGGACTCAGGATTGCAGGGGCTCCAGTTTGGATCTGGTGCTGGATGTCGAGCCTGACATCAGAACACACGAGCCTGACATCAGAACACACCCCTTCTCAAACAGATGCCATGTTAAAACAAACTGTATTGCAAACAAAGGACACAAGGTGGGTCATCATGTGCAGTTTGGGACGGATTCTGTAGCCATACAGCTTTGCCCGAGCTGCCAAGCTCGCCAGGGTGGAATAGGCATCCTTACCAGACATGCGATCGATGGATACGATGACGTTACCCTTTACTGAACTTTCTAGGACCTTTTGCTGGGAATAAAAGAGGGGTTGTGGTAGACAGATACTGGATCAAAAAATGCAAATGCTCAAAGTCCAAGGTCCGTGAAGATAAAACCTTCAGAAACCAAGCCTTCGGCTGTACCGCGTGGGATCCAAACCCCATGATTGTAAATAGTGCGCCAGAAACGGTCAATAGCCAAACACGCAATGGTTAGCACCTCCAACATGTCTTTGTACTCCTCTTCCTGAGTTTCCACCCTCGCCGCTTTAGCAACTTAAGTTACGTAAGACACCCAAAACAGAAAGCGGTTGTCATGGATGCACTTTGAAAATCTTTGAAATGCCATTGACCCAACCGAAGCTTGACCAAGGTCGGCGAAGTCCGTTGCACCTCCTCTGCGAGCCAGGCGCCAACGGCAGACGCGTCGTGCCCTTTTCCAAGCCCCCTGGGCCATCCATTCAACCTTGCTGCATCCAGCGAGCTGGGATTGCAAGAGACCCCTATAGCCGGCTAACCCCTAGAACAACACATATGTTACCTTTGTTGGAAGTTCTGGGGCTTGAAGAGCGTCCATGCAAAAGCGATACGTAAAGTTTTGAACCTAGAAGCGAACCCTTCTTGAGCTTCAAGCTTCCATGACTGAAGTCTTCAATGGTTGTGTTCTTAGAGTGGGAATTGCAGTAAGCCAAGAAGTTGGCGTAAGCATTCTGAAGGCAACGCTCAGTGGGACCGGAACCAAAGTGACCCAGTCGGACTAGCATGAGAAGACTTGAAGCAAGAAAGTCTTTGCCGATACCATCAATCGCATAAGTATGCGCGCCATCTATACGCACATACCTGCAGCAATCTCCCAGTGGCAAACTCCTGAGTGGGCTCGGAGGTCCGCCCTTGAACGCATTCGGGTTGGTGGCAGTGACTGGCATAGATTTCATTTTCTTGACATCCCACCAATCCTTAGAGGCAAAGTATGCACGTGACAAATTGATAGGCTGAGAAAAAGCTAGTCAAACACACCCAACTAGAAACCCAGTGTCAATTCTCCAAAGAGTTTCTAGCATCGTGCAGCGGTGACATTTCTGCTTACAATTGAACCCACAGTTTAGCGCATAGGCGCTGCGCAGAAATGGCCAGTCCCCCTTCACACCCAGGCATATAAAGTGAATACGGTGGGTTTGTCCGGCCCATGTCACCTTACTTGCCACGAGACTTAACCTCGCACAAGGCTCATGCGATGAAGTGAAGCAGAACATGAGCAAAAGCTATTTAAAACTTTGGTATTCAGTCTACCTAGGAACATCCACACCATCTTTCCACATCTTGTTCAGATCTTCCGCCAGCACTGACAGAAGCGTGTGAAAACTCTTGTGTGAATATGGTGCAGGGAGGCACGTGTAGAGAAGGCGGGTGCACAAACTTGACCTCAGCACGGAGACGAGCAGTTGACCCATGCGCCCTTGGAAGAATACAAGAGACCTCCCTGTCCTTCTCAAATAAAATATTGCTGTTCTATATGCGAGGTACCCTTGCATGTTTGTCTTTTTGCCCACAAGCGGCAGCAAGGTTTGAAGGGCCACCACCATAACCGGGTTATGAAGACGACCCCTACCCTCGTCCCCATGTATGGCCACCGGTATGCAAGACCCCAACTTCCTTTCTGGCATGTCTTTGTAGAGGGGGAAGTCACTGTCGATCTTCTTGTAGGCCGACCAAAAATGAAGCAGCTCGTTTTGAACTTGTGGCCACATGTCCATAGACCGGCCGCCCAAAAAGAAGTGCCCGCCATTTTTGAAGATTGTCTCCACCCAGTCTGGCATACGTAAGACAGGGTAGTGCACGAAAGCTGGCGCCAAGCGTTTCCGGGAGTATCGGACCCACAAAGGAACACGGCTAATTTTTACATCTAGTTTTCTTTTTTCCTTGGCAATCACCCGGTGCAACTTCTCGCAGGCATGGCCCGTGTAAGTAGCATTCTTGGCTGCGCTGCCACAGCTCGCCAGTCTCTGCAAAGATCGATCCACAACTCCTAGGAACCCCAAACAAAAGACAAGTTCAATCCCGCCGCACATACACAAACCGTTCACAGACCATGCATGCGCACCATATACTGTATATATATTCATGCAAGACGCCGTGCTTTTGTAGCTTCTGATGAGCAACTGCAGCCAAACGAGCCACACGCTCAGCGCTTTGAGCCTGGCAACAGCAGTACTGATGGGGGCCCAATTTGATGCTATTTGATGTTTCTGGATTTCTGAGCTCGAATGGGCGATCTTGTCATGCATTCGACTAAATGCTGGCAAGCAACCCCCATCTCAAACCCGCTGAGAAGCTCATCGGCCAGGTCGGACTCCAGGTCGGACTCGTCTGATGGCAAAAGAGGCTGTGGGAGTGAGCGGGGCAGGGGTTTGGGTCTCAGGCTGTCACAAGCAGAACTCCTCACAAAATCCCTGCCTTCAAACTTGCGTTTAGATTCATTGCGGCTCTCGAAGCACCCATCCCTGGATATACCTGCGGGTGAGGGTGAAAGCAATGAGATTTCCAATGCAGGGTGAGAGGACGTAAAAGGGATCGCACCAAAAGCAGCTGGTGTGATCCCTTTTGCGTCCATTCAACCTGTCTTGGTTGTGAACAAACCTCGAGGTTTGCCGCACAGATCCCATCACTTACCTGATCGTGTTTTTCAGATCTCTGGCAGGTCCACCCCGTACCCCATATTCAACTCCGCTGGCCCACGCAGAGTTGCCAAAGGAAACAAACATCAACTTCGGTGTAGCTAGCCATCGAAAAAATATTTTTGATTCTGAGCTGTGCAGCTGCAGGCAACTCTGACTATGGTTGGGTGCGCGTAGCGATACCCCACATCTCTAATTGCAGCGTGGGAATTGGTTGCCCACACCAGCAAACTGGAAACAATTGGCAAACCTAGTCTTTCTTGACTGGTTTCCTTCCACCCTTCTTCGGGCGTGCTTTTGCACCGGACTTTGCCGCAGGCTTACTGGATGGCTTCATCGTCCTGGAGCCAAGGGTTGGGGAGTGGGTTGAGGTTAAAATACGAATTAGGAGGATTGAGTTGATTGAGATAGCTATAGAACCTACTTATCATCACTATATATATAGGTGTGGAAACCTGGCCTATCCCAACCCCGCAGACACTGGTCCTGGCACGAAGAACCAAATTATTGAGGGCAACATCGGTTTTGGTGCACTCTGCACATAGGCTCAAGATCTGCTTTTGTGTCTCAGGCCTCAAAGCCCATACGCAAACAGGTGTGATATTGGTGCCCCGGAAGGTGAACATATATGATCTAGAGCATGCTGGGGCGCTTCGCACTTCGAGTCACAGCGCATTCCCCCTGCAGATTCTCCAGCTTCTCGTAGATGGACTGCATATGGTTCACCTGGATCTGAATCTGCTTCGAATGCCTGGGCTCGA